ATAAACCCGGGAAACCGTCTCTACTAAAAAAATACAAAAAAACTAACCGGGCAGGTGCTGCTCGGCTGTGGGTTGGCGGGGGCCTGTGAGTCCCAGCTACTCGGCTGAGGCTGAGGCAGGAGACAATGGCGTGAACCCGGGGAGGCAGATCTTGCGGTGGCGAGATCCGCCACTGCACTCCAGCAGCTGGGCGAGCAGAGCGAGGACTCTGTGCTCAAAAAAAAAAAAAGAAGAAGACAGAGAATTCAGCAAAAACCATTTAAAAATAGTCTTCCAAAAAGAGCAAATGGTGGACTTAGAAAAGCAGAAATTTTCGGACTTGTAGTATTTAGTAATAAATCGTGATTTCTATTAATAAATTCAACAAAACCTTATAACCTTTATATTATATATGTGTATGTATTTTCTGGGAGTACTCCTTCCTTATACTGACCATACCACACACACCACACACACACACACCTATAATATATTAGATATATAGCTACTTCACCCTTTAAAGGATTAAAATTTTTTTTGAGAGTTATAGAAACAAAACCGAACGTGATGTGAGATGATACAACAAAATGCCAAGGAAATTGAAACAAGGGAACAAAAGTTTATTTACTAGCTTGAAGAAACATTCATAGATAATCCCTAACCGTTTTTCCATAGAGACTTTTTTCAATTCCATATAAATCAGTAGTCGTAGTATCCTGAAGAGAGTCTGAACAAAATTGGAATTAACCCTTCTCCTGTTTTTGATTTTCTTCAATATGAACGTATACCAGCAATCGAAAACTTAAAAGCAATTTATCGCATAGAACCCTAGATACTGTTTAAAAGATGGTATAAAAACAACTGTAAGTGATTGTGATTTATGATGATCAAAGTTAAAAATTTATACTCTCTGCAGTCACAACTGATATATAAAATGCCGGTACAGTATTTGGAGTGTGAGGAGTGACAAATCAGGGATTCGTTTCTAAATCTAAGTACTGCTTTGAAATTTTGTTGGTAATTCCAGTTGCTGCTGCTTCAGGCAGAAGGAAGCTTCTCCAAATTAAAATTAAATTAAAAACTGCTTAAAAGACTATGTTCGACTGCAGAAAGGTTTTCTCTTTTTTTGCCTTTTGTCGCAGTAGAATTCATGTTAAGTAATAAGACACATCATCAGGCGCCGGCTTGGTGTGGCTCACGCTGTAATCCCAGCACTTTGCGGAGGCCGAGCGGGGGGATTGCCTGAGGCTCGCGGGTGTTGCACAAACCAGGCCTGAGACCAGGGTGAAACCCCATCTCTACTAAAAAATACAGAAAAACTTAAGCCAGGGCCTGGCGGGCCATGATCCTGTATGTCCCAGCTGCATCGGGAGGCTGAGGCAGGAGAATTGCTAGGAATCCAGAGGCAGAGGGTAGCAGTGAGCCGAAATCACAGCCTACTGTACTCAGGCCTGGGTGACAGGCAAGACTACCATCCAGAAAACAAAAAGAAAATCAATCCAGTACTCCCTGGGAATGAAGCCAAGAAAAATATTTTATGAAATAAATATTGTATATATTAAAGTGTGTCGTGGTTGGGGGTGCGTGCCACTTCCATTGTGCCGTTAATCACCAGCCAATTAACAGAATGACGCCTCGTGTGGTGTAAAATGAATTAATAAGTGAATTAGTCAGTTGTGGTGTTTGTAACTTTCGTGGTTTTTGTTGGGTCATGTTGAAAGAGCCACAGCTGTTTCAATATTTTCCAGATGAAAAGAGTATGGAGGTCTAAAGAAATTAAAATAGAACGACCTCCTTAGTAACCAGCAGTCCCACTCTGGACATATACCAGAGGGAAAATGGACATCCCATCTAGGTGTTGTGATACTGTGTTTATGGTGTTATCTGCACTTCCATGGTTCATTGCAGCAGTTTTCCAATAGCCAGGGGATATTGAAACAACTACATTGTCCATCAATGTAAAATGGATAAAGTAAGTAGATGTGTTGCTATATAAGTGGAATGATAATTTCCACAGTGAAAAGAGAGATCCTTTTTTAATAGTAGAGATGGAGTTTCACCATGTTGGCCAGGCTGGTCTCAAACTCCTGACCTCAGATGATCTGCCTACCTCGGCCTCCCAAAGTGCTGGGATTACAGGCGTGAGCCCCCGCACCTGGCCAAGAATGATTATTTTTAAGATTGAACTGAGATTGTGTCACTTCTTAACTCATACTGCCCAGTGTCCTCCCATTTAGCTCACAATAAAAGCCTTTGCAATGGCCTAAAGGTAGGATGATTATATTCTTTAATGTTTAAACTGGAACTTAATTTTGAGAGTAAAAGTGGCACTATTAATAATACAGCCATGACAGCAGGCATAAATTTGAACTGGCCTGGGTAACTAGTGTGTGTGGTCACCCCACTTGTCAGAGATGTTGTGATCTGGCCTTGGGTGTCCCTCCGATCATTCTCCTACCACACTCTCCCTCATTTTATTCTCTGCCACCACGCTTGCCTCCTTCAAATTCCATGCACATGACAGGCATGTTTGTGCATCAGGAACACTCGTCCCCAGTAGCTGGCATGGCATGATTGCCCCCCTGTCCTGTAGAGACACCCTGTATAAAACAGCACCTCCCCACCATCACTCTTCTCTGGTGCTGCTTTGTTTTTTGTTTGGGTTTTTTGTTTTGTTGTTTTGTTGTTGTCACCTGACGTATTACCGCCGTGTTACTACCACCGTCTACCCCAAACGCAGGCTGCATGGGAGAAGGACTTTGTTTAGCTTACCACTGTGTCCCAGCACTTAAAACAGTGCCTCAAATACAGTTCATTATAGAATCTTGCTGGTGGGTATGGGGTGTTCGTGTACAGTTTCTTCAACTTCGTTACAGTCACGCGTCGCATGACAGGACGAGAAATGCATCCTGAGAAGTGCATAGCTGGGCAATTTCATGGCTGTGCAAACACCATAGGGTGCACTCACACAAACCCAGATGGTGGAGACTAGTACACATCTGGGCTGTGTGGTCCAGCCTGTTGCTCCCAGGCTACAAACCTGTGCAGCGTGTGACTGTCCTGAATACGGTAGGCAGTTGTCTCACAATAGTAAGTATTTGTGTATCTAAACATAGAAAAGGTACAGTAAAAATAGAGTATTGTAATC